AAATGTTTTAAAGGAATATTCACACAATTTTTCTTCCATGTATTAATTTCAACAGTAAACCTCAGTTTGTTTGCCAAAAAATAAAAGGGTTTAATTTTTATTTGATTTAAAATAAATGTTTAATGCCTTCATTTGATTTTCAGAAAAATTAAAACAAGAATTTCTGGGGGGAAAAAAATAAAAGAAATAAAGTTTGTAGGGCCCTATTGTTCAAAATGTTGAAATTGAGACTTTTGGACTTATTTTTTCACTGAAATAAATGTTTTTGTAATTACACAGAGAGTAAAGTACCGAAAAAAGGTACCGTTGGGTACCGGCACCGAAATTCAGGTACCGATACCGGTACCGTACCGGTTAAAATGTGAACGGTACCCAACCCTACTCAACGGAATGACTGGTTTTGCTTAAATAGTACAATAGCTATAGTGAATGAATAGGTGACTTGGCATAAAACGAGAAGTCAAAAGAAAAAATCCAATAACTAAACGATGAGGTAAACGGATTATAATAATAATAAAAAAGTGTGTACTAGACAAAACCACAAATGGTAATATTTTTGACAAAAGGAAGAGTATTTCAAGCATACAATGAGCACTTTAACCCTACAGGAAGAAGAAAAATCTTCAAACAGACAACGATTTGATGCTCTTGGGCCAAATTTGGTCATGGTTACGCCAGCTATGGCAAATCACATGGTTCCTGAAAACACTGATGTCAACATCTGATTAATTTCCCATGTGTGGGACCTCTTTTTTTGGAACACAAGGCGAATTATTCCTTGTATCAAAGATGCTTCTAGTCTGCCAAGTCATGGTTTTAAGCCTCCTTGGGGATTTGCACAAGCAATCACAATATAGAGCTACGCAGTGCCGTTTCCTGACGAAATTGGGCCAAAATAAAAATAAAAATTGGTCACTCCCAAATTGCAACTGGACCACAATTTTGCCCCCTCAGGACTGAAGCAATAAACCAAAGGATGTCAATAAATCAACTGACGGCATGCCACTGCAAGGTCCATTACAAATAAATTAGACAAGACTGCAAAACTGCTACAGCATGTGAGATACAAACCACCCATAAATGAATGGCTTCCCTTATTCCTGATTGGGGTGTCCAATTAATCACAGTTCATGTGGCGGGGCAGGAGACTGGTAATGATATTTGCTTAAAGCAAAGATTTAAAGGCTTCAACAAGAGAGCCACAGCAGACCTCTAGCGCTGGATCCAACATTCCCAATCGAAGGCCCGTTTGCAGTGCATATATTTGTCCACGCCTATGTTAACAGGTTAGTGCATTCACACAGATGTGGTCTGGCAATGCGAACCAGGAGCATTGCATATGCAGTAGTTTATTTTTACTGTGCTGCATGTGCTGAATTAAAGTGACAGCGCCTTTTTCACAATAAAAATTAACATGGATTGACACGAAAATGTAGTAATTACACTATAAAAGCATTTAATTAAAGTCTACAGTGTTTCACAGTCAACACATGACGTTTGTGGCTAGATTTAAAGCAACGAAAAGTGCTCTTTTAGATAAACAGGGCGACATGATGGATGGCACTTGTGGAGGTGGAAAAACAGTTCTTCTAATAAAGATTTAAATGCAAAGGAAAAGGCACGAGAGACGGTTGTTTCTATCAATGGTAAGTTTTAAGTTAAAATATTTGTGATAGCCTAACTTTCAAAATAAGAAAAGTAGGCCAAGTCTGAGTTTAAGTGTTCTGCCACTTGCTTGAGCAACATGAATCTACTGTACTGTATATAGAAGTAAAATGCATTGCATAATACTTTGTGAATACTATGAAAGATTTTACTACTGTTCTGTGTAGAAAGAGAATCACAATCCTGAAAAAGCATTTTCAGCAACAACGTTTGGATTTTTAATCAAAAATAATGGATAAATGTTGTGTTTGTGGTAAACAGCCACGGATCACAGCAAACTGCAAACATGTCTTATGTGAAAGCACACACAAAGGCTGTATATGCACGGCAAACATATGAATATCTATCAAAATACTACAAGAGCATCAACAAGTCATTTCAAAAGAGTTTGGCATTCTATAAATAGAATAAATGAAAGTATATTTAATTTAAATAATATTAATGAAACAAGTAATAGGTTAAACATTCTAAAATAAAATAAAAATATGGCATTATATATATATATATATATATATATATATATATATATTTAAGTTATGCATTTTTTTTCTATGGTTTTACTTTTGCTTAACAATAG